GGCATTCCAGCTGAGGAGAGAGCCGTAATGGAGCAACCCCATTGCAGGTGAGAGCATTGCTCACTCATTTCTTGGAGAAATTGGCCTCGTTTAGCTCCTCCAAAAGACTCAGTGGTGGTTTGAATGGGTGTTCGGAACTGTTTGACACCTGAAGGATGAGATTAATTCAGATGACACTGTTGGTTTAGCCAGATTTTGTGTGTCTGTGTGTAATCTTAGCATCTCCAAGACCCATTGACTGACTACAAACAGTTAAACAGGGAGGAATGTAGGGCAAAACCAGCCAAGCCCGTGCTCTGCGTTGGGGCTGGAGCAGGGGAATGCATTGGTAGGAGAAGGAAGGGTTTCATAGCTGTACCACATATTCATAGCTGTAGATGTTTTTAGGCTGTGTGGCTACGTTGGGCTTTAACAGCCTGGTTTTTAGAAGTGTAGAAAGAGATTTTGCTTTAATCCACTCAAATCTCTCTTTACATTTTTGTTTGTTCTTCCTGATAACACTTAAAACCTTTGAGATTCGGCCTTGTGGGGCCATGTAGGACATTTTTTAATGGTGATATTAGCACTTCTTTTACCTAAAATGACTTTGGGGAGCTCAGCGTCGCAGCCCTGCGCCTCTGCAGTGATGACCTGCGCAGGATCCTTGTGGAGGCAGCCAAACCAGGACCGGTTGTCTCTGATCTCCGCACCCTTTTTCTCTGGTGCAGTAAAACTTGCTCAAAGTCGCTATGGATTGGCATTTCCTAATTTCCTTCGGTGGTATTGCCCATTCCTCCAGGAAACCTGGACGTCAGGTGTTTTCATCCTTGGCTTGAAGTCAGATTATCTTCCTATTTGCGCTCTAATTGACTTTGCCTCTGCCTCAACCAGGAATAAATCTCTCCCATCAGCTCTCTGTGAACTTGTCTCCAGCTCGGCTCCGTATCGAGCGTGCGGGAAGCGTTTGTTGCTGTGCTTTGATTACCTCTTGATTACCTCTTAATTATATTGGCAGCTCGTTGCCAAGTGGGAGGTGATGCTGGGAAGCAGAGGGACGAGGTCTGGGGCACTCAAAGAGCTGCACCCCTTGGGTCCATGGGAGGGACGCGAGAGCCTCGTCGTTAATTTTGCCATCTAATTGGAGAGGTTGTTCTTGGTTGAGAAGCTGCCAGTTGGGATGGATTTTGCTAAGGGAAGGCTTTGTTTGGCTCAAAGCAGGGTGATTGAAGAACTGATCAGAGCAGGTAACTGAAACGCACTGTATTGATCATCACCCACGGCCTCTTGTCTGCAGCTGCTCCTAGGAGGAGAGGAATTGCTGAGCCCGGTGATGTTGGCATCTGATGGCCACGAGCCACGGAGGAGCAGTGTCTGGAGAGCAAATGAGCCCCTTAGTGTAGGAAACCCGGGGGTTAACTCAGTTAAACCTTTCACAGTGTGTAAATTCGTATGTTTACATGAAAAGTGCATGGGACATCTGCGGATAGAGTAAGGATGGTAATTTCTGGGGTAAAAAGCAAGTGTTTCAAGTTTTTAGTGGTGTTTTAGGAACTTCAAAAACTGAAGCCATTGATTTTAGGTTGCTCCTCGCTTGCTCTGCATGTGAACATTTCAAAGCAGACGCTCAGCACGTTTCGTTTGCACTGAGTCAACCACAACGGGTTCCTTGGCCACTGTAACTCACAGGCAGTTAGAGCTGCAACGCTAAAATATCACAGGCCACAGATAGCAGAGCAGAGCAGTGTAAAAACCGAAACACTGAAGCATTTGGTGGTTTTCCAGTTTAGCATCCGCTCCTCCATCCCTGGGGGGAGCCCACTTTGTACGCAGGTTGCCATGCAAAACCCAACTCGGATGAGCGCAGACCTGTCGAGGTGGTGATGTCCGTGTCGAGGATGTGAAGAGGGGACTCAGGGGTGTGGGTGTACCAGGAGTTGTGATTTGGAGGGTTTGTCAGGGGACCACGTCCTCCTGAGCCCCTCTGATGTGGGCAGGGGCAAGGCGGGTTTGGGTGCCTGCGGAGGAGTGTGCTGGGGGGTCATGGGTTGGAGCTAAGCCAGGACTGACTCATTTTTGTAGTTTAAAATAAACTCTCATCTGTTTTCGCGTGAGGACGGGTGTGTAATAGGGCTTTGATGGCTCTGGCCTCTTCCTGCGCTACCAGAGGAGCCGTTTCTGTGACCTTCAGCTGGGGATCTCCTCACCTCACGTTGTGTTGGTCCTCCTGATAACGGTGCTGGACCAGAGCTTTGCTCTGATTTTCTGAGTAGTTTTCATATGTTATACTTGTAATTTAAAACAGGAAGTATTAAGCATTTCTAAGCACTGCTTAAGCCACATACTTGTATGACCAGAACTTAAATTTACCTTGGTACCACTTCTGGATAACTTGTAATGACTTCTCTCTTTCACCTTTTTCTCCAGGCAAGCATGGGACCTTGCTGTTGATATTTGCCTCTCCCAGTTACCTACGATTATAGAGGAAGGAACTGCCTTTAGGGTAAGTTGGATGATACCTTGACGTGCTGTGTGCGGTGTAACCCGTTACCCGAAAGCCCGGCTCTGTGCATTGCTTTTGCTTGCTGAGCCTCGAATTGCTGCTTTTCGAGGGTTTCTATTTTCTGAAGATGGTAACTGTCTGCTCACCTCACTGGCAGGAATAGATTGAAAATCAACTTCAGGGTCCTCGCTGTCGTGGATGTCTGATTCAGCCGCGCATCGGTGAGGAGGAAGCTCCTACCGTGAGCAGCGATGCCTCAGACCTGATGTAATGTTTCAGAGCACTCAGTGTTGACTAACAGTGTTGTTACCAAAAAAAACACCAGTGTGCCAGCAGGACTTTCGAAGTGAAAAACCTTAGTCCAAAAATTACCTCGTAGTGGAGTTACTTTCAAGTAAATGGGCAGTGGACGTAGAGGCAGGCGCAGGTCCCCCTCTGAGCACCTCCTTGTGCTCTCGTTTACAGCCCAGCACAATTAACACCGCGTGGGTCTGTGCCTGCTCTGCAGGGCCAGATACGAACCCCTGGCACCTCTCTCTGTGAGACGCCTGCAGGAGGAGCAGAAAACCCAGCCGTGTTTTTGGGAGGGGGCGGAAGGGGCTCAGCCCTGCGCCGTGACAAACGCTCGCAGCAGCCAGACGCTCGCACACCTCCGCTCCATCCCTCGGGTTTCAATCAGTGTTTTGCCCTCAAACCTCTTGATTTACACCCAGTGAGCAGCGTTGTGCATCAGCAAAGGGCAGCTGCTGCTGGGCAGCCGCCGTCCTGGCAGGAATTGCCGCCCAGCGCGGGGCAGGGGCGCTGTGCTGCCTTGTGGAGGTCAGCCCGTGTGGTCACCCAGCAGCAAAATCTGGGCCTGGGGTGAGTCACAGCATCTCCTGCTGCCAGCGCTGCCCACGGAGGGTTTAGAGCCCAGCCTGGCCCTGGATCAGGCAGTTGGTAATCTCTTCAGGGCTGTTTTGTTTCAGCAGCACGTTAAGAGACCACGTGCGCCCGGCTTCTGCTTATTCTCAGGGTGTCCTTTCCTAGGCAGCCCTGGAAAACACCATGACCTGCTGGAGCACAGCCTGTGGATGCAGCGCTCCTACGGGGAGAGCCTGGGGCTCTGCCTTGGTTTGCTCTCCCTCCTCCCACCTCCTCCTTCCCCCTCCATTTCTGCTTCCCCCTGGATTTTGGAGTGGAAGCTGCTGTGAGCTGTGCCCAGTGCTTTCTCACACCTCTCTTGTGCCACGTCCTCAGTGTGAGATGGCAAAGGAGCTGTTTGTCACTGCCGACAGGGCTGCTGATGTGCCCAGAGCGCCCTGGGGAGGTCGTGTCCACTCACCAGGGGCGGTGAGAGACCAAGGATGCTCTGCACACTTCAGCAGGGCCTCCAAATGGGCTGCAGATGCCAGATCCCACCCAGTAAAACCCAATTCAACAGCCAGGGTGGTGCCCCCACACACGGCCACTTCTCGTTAGAATAAGGCTATCGTTACAGCATTTGGTTTTCAAAGTGTGCGGTATTTTCTCTGCTTGTATTTGCCATCCCCTAAACCACATTCATTTACGTCTGGAGATACCAGATGTATACTTACTGCACGTCAATCAGATGTGTTCTGTAAAACACCGTGCAGTCGTGCTGTTGCTGCTGCTGGGACCTCGTCCCACTCGCCCCTGTCCTTCCCCACCTCTTGTATCTCCAGTGAGGCACTGCTGTCAGGTCTGTTAAATGCTGTAGCACCCTGCATGTTGCTTTTCTGCTCATCCACACTACCAGGATATCTCTAATTAAACGAGTGGATTCAATACTGTAAGCAGACTTTATGATTATTTTTGTTTGCCTGTATGAAGCCCTTTTACTGTGGGTGTCAGAAGTGATGGGTAGCTGAATAAAAAGCCTTGAATTAAGAAAAAAGGATAAATAGGAGACAGCATCAGAAGCCAAAGCAGCCCATCTGAACGGCCACCTGTTTGCAGGGGAGGTTGATGGCAGCGGGGAGGGGTGGATGGGGATGGAGATGTTTGTCATTGCCGTTGGGCTGTGCTCACCGTGGGCTGCTCCGGGGGAAAACGGCCTTTGCCGAGCACATGAATCCACTGCTGCTGCTCATGGGGAGACCATCGACCACGCTTCCCTGAGACCGCTTGTGGCACCTCCTCCTCTTCCTCTTTCCTCCTCCTTTGTTTCAAGCTCATTACAGAATGGCAGTGTATTTAAAGGGAATTGTATGTGCTCAGTCTCTGGAAAAACATTATACATCAAAGAAAGCCCTGACAGTGTTTGCAAATTAAAAAGAATTGGGTTTGGAACATTTATTTGTATTTCTGAACCAACCTTGCGTTCCTGTCCTTGCTCCCCCAGCACAGCCCCTTCTTTGCGGAGCAGCTGACGGCGTTCCAGGTGTGGCTGACCATGGGTGTGGAGAACCGCAACCCCCCAGAGCAGCTCCCCATCGTCCTGCAGGTGAGCAGCCCCATC